CAATTCGTGTGTTATAATGAGAGGATTCGTGAACACGCAAATTTCTGCTCCAGTCTCTGCTCCAGGGTCTCGCGGGAGCAGGTCTCTAATCCACTGGCACTTGACTCGACAGCGCGTGTGCTACATCCTTTTTACAATCTCTAGATTATAAATCACTGCATTCTGTCAGCAATGTAACGCGGCAGTAACGTATAGAGACCTCGGCTTGTAACTACTCTAATTACTATTTTGAAAATTATAACGCGTTAAATTACTCCGTTACTAAGAAAGTAATCAAATTACAGTAACGCGTTACTGCCCAACACTGTAAATGGGTTTATGGGTTTAGATTTATTGTGTCGTCTTTACAGTTTGAGGAAGTGTTTTTGACCAAACGGGAGGAGTATGAAAAACTGCTGAATGGTAATGGTAAATATTCAGTAAATTCCTCATCTCGTATTGTTTTATAGTCCTGTATAATAATAATATTCGTATTTTTGAATGTAGATGGAGCCCTGATGTTTCAGCAGGTGCCTTTGGTTGACATAGACGGGATGCAGCTCGTGCAGTCAAAGGCTATCTTGAATTACATCGCTGGAAAATACAGTCTATATGGAAAAGACCTTAAAGAACGGGCTATGTAAAAGTCAACTTTTTATGAAAAGTGTTATGATTCCAAGTGGCCTTGCTTTTCCACCACACCTAAGCAATTATAACTGAATGCATGTGTTTTTGTCCTGAAGGATCGACATGTATTCAGAGGGAATCGGTGATCTCATGGATTTGTTTATAATGTATCCGTTCACACCACCTGAAAACAAACAGAAACACCTCAGTAATATAGAGCAAAAGGCCAAAGATCGCATTCTTCCTGTGTTTGAAAAGGTACACAGTCGACGCTTTACAAGAAACACTATTCATGCTCCCATTTTGAGGCATGATTATCCACATTGGAAACATGAAACTATAGATTGTGTCTTTAGGGTCTTGCAAACTCTCAGTTCCTTGTGGGAAACCAGTTGAGCCGTGCTGACGTTCACCTTCTTGAAGTCACTCTGATGCTGCAGGAGTTACTCCCTACAATACTTGCAAGCTTTCCCAAAATCCAGGTGCTTCACAGTTTCTCACACAGACACCCAACCCCAAAATTCCTTAACGAAACCATTTTTTTCAACATATGATTTTGTAGAGTTAGTTTATTACAATAACATCCTTAAACATTGGCATATGAAAAAACAGCAATAATTGAGTCATGTCAAGGTTTCACTGACTGTATTTGATGATTACAATAAATACAACTGTACCGGTTGTCAGATATACAGTGATAGAGTAGTGTGGTCTGGTTTAGTGAAGCAGTGAGTTCAGCCCACGATTCAAAGCCATAATTCCTGTGATCCCAAAAAAAAGCGGTACACTAAAAAATGCTGGGTTGTTTCAACCCAACTTTGGGTCA